TTTTATTACTACAGGTTTGTAATATAGTTAGAGAAGTTTGGTATTGATATTCTTCTGGCATTGTTCTTACTGAAGAATTGCTTTTTTTTTAATTGTGAAAATATTGTACAGAGGGTTACAATTACATGGGCAAGATAATGAGTACATTTCTTATCAAGCATTGTAGCCTCCTCCTTTGTTTCCCCTTCCCATCCCATCCTCCCTCCACCTCCCACCCAACCCTCCCCCCCCCACCAAAGTTGTAAAGTTCGTTTTTGACATAACGACTTGTATGTCTCATTGTTGCAATGGGTCCATCTGTATCCCTATTTAAACTATTTGTTTTTTCCCTTCCCTTCCACACATTATAACAACCTCAAATATAGTGAAAGCAGGGGTTATGCCATGGGGGAGGGACATACAAAGCAACAAAGAAATAATCTTATAAATTATTAGGTGTTTTTGAATCATAATTACTGAGGAAAATGCACAGGGAACACTAAGAACACTAAACTCATGGCCAGCTTACGCTACTCTTAAGGTTGGCAGCAAAGACTAAGTTGTTTTTCGAGGTTCTGGGATTTGATCTCAGTGCCCCATGCTTGCTAAACAGTAGTTGTCACAAATGAGCCACATCCCATCCCATTTTTTTTTTACTTTAGTTATTTTTCTGATAGAGTTTTATGTTTTCCTGCAGGCCAGTCTTGGTCCCTCATCCTCCTACCTACAACCCCTGCTTATTTGGGACCAGAGGAGCATGCCATCACAACTGGCTTACTGGTTGAGGTAGAGTCTCACTAACATTTTGCCCAAACTGGCCTTGAGTGACCAAGCTATCCATGTCTGAGTAGCTTGGGTTACATGCATGAATCACCACACCCAGCCATAAAGATTAGCCCCTAGGCTCCCAGACTGTCAAGCACATGCTGCAGAGAGTTTCTTATACCTATATAAGCTACAAAAAGGAATCACACATACACTCACATGCACATATTCACTCCTTCATGTTTACCCATCCCTTTATAGTTTGTGCAACCTGGGACTTATGTAACCAGAAAATGAAATATTTGTAAAACCACAATTTGGATAGCTTTAAGTGATACTTTATTTATATGACTATTTAAGGTTAGTATAGTTATTTCAATAAGCCCAAATAGAAGTGTGTGTGTATGTGTGTGTGTGTGTGTGTGTGTGTGTGTACACATGCGTATTAGGACTCAAACTTGGGACCTAAGCACTATCCCTTAGCTTTTAAAATCAAAGCTGGTACTCTACCACTTGAACCATAGTACCACTTCCAGGGTTTTTGGGTGGTTAATTAGAAATGAGAGTCTCGTGAATTTTCCTGTTCAGGCTGGCTTTGAACCATAATCCTCAGGTCTCAGCCTTCCTAAGTAGCTAGAATTACAATTATGAGCTATCGGTGCCTGGCTTCTAAATAGATTTTGATGCCTAAAAAGTAGAGATGGATTTAGAAAATAATAGTAGTAATACGTACTTGTTAACAGGCACCTATCTATACTCACTGAGTGTATTCTAATGCATGACAGAGAATAATAGAAAATGGGTCTGAAGCTGTCATAATGAATATGAACCATGACAGGACAGCAAAATGGCCAATCCCTCTCTGCAGTTGCTATGAAGAATACCATCTCATTGTTGCAAGAGTCTAAGACCCCACGGTCAGGACACCTTCCCGATGCTGTTCATCACCCTGCCCTCAACAAGATGACTCTCTCTCTCTCTCCAAGTCTTTCATGCAAAACCCAAATAAACACACAGAAATGACAAGAATGCTCAGTGTTCGAATTTGTTGGTTTTAGACAAAATAAAGAAAAAGAATGGATTCCACTGGACTGAAGAACGTAAAAAATGTAAAGTCTGGTGTACTACTATGCCTGTATCTTTGCTGGAACCCCCTTGCAAACCCTAAATGATCCCTTTCATTGGCACCCTAGAGAAGGTGGGCAGCTGTGGAGTGAAGGATTCCTTTACCCATGAAGTCATAAATATTCAAAAACCACGTAGGAATGCTAGGGTTTGGAGGTTGCTGAGGGAGGCCAGCGTGGATGGTAGTTGGTCAAGTTCTCACAAATGAGGGCTAGACTGGCAACCTGTAGGTTGTGACTGAAGGCACCAGGTTTTCCCACAATCCAGCATTATCTTCCCTTAGGAACTGCTGAAACTCCTGTTTTCTACTTCTTTGCATTGACTCTGCAGGGAATCTCTTCTGTTATCTCGCCTGTCTTTCACTTTGGGGCCCTAGGGTGAAAAATCCTTTAAAGACAAAAAAAACTGTATGTTCATTTCACCTTTCAGAGAACTCTTGCACTAGAGAAGGAGAGAAGAAAGCAAGGGCATATATGAGAAGTAATTGTGGAAAGAAAAAGGAAAAAAAGAGAACTGAGAAAGAGAGACAGACAGATAGATAGACAGACAGACTGCTCTCATCTGACTCAAGTTCCCCATCTTCTTAGAGAGAGGTAAAACCTTTAGGGGAGACCTAAGAGGACTAGAAAATGTCCTACATACCTAGGAAGCAGGGAGCAGAAGGGAGGATGGAAAGGCTGAGAAGCCAGGCCTCCATGATTGAAGGGTACAGAAAGCTCTCTGCAAACCCTTTTTTTGCTTTTTGTAAATTTTTTTGCCTAGCCTGGGGCTTGAACTCAGGGCCTGGGAGCTCCTTTTGCTCAAGGCAAGTGCTCTACCACTTGAGCCACAGCCACTTCTTGCAAACCCTTTTAAATCTGGAAATTGCTTACTGTTATGCAGGTAAAGGTTTCAGGGGAAATGTTTATCTCGGTGTCCTCTGAGAAGTAGCACGTTATACTGACAGAAGTTTCTGTTTATAGGAGGATAAGATGGTTCTGGAGCTTGGGCTATGACCCAGAAAGGGCACGTCTGAGCAGGAAAGATTTGAGGTAAGGGACTGGAAAAGAAGAAATGATGAAAGGAAAGGTGTGAGGTATTGAGTGCTGAAGTCAGTCTTGGCCAGTCTCGCTTTGGGAGAAGCTCTCTACCAACAGCTCTGGCCCAGGCCTTGGAATTATCTCTGTACGCTGCAAAACAAAAAGCATTCAGGAGGAAGATTTCTGGGTGGGGGACACTTCCCAGTGTCGGGTGTGGCACGTGAAGGTGTCCCTGTCCAGACCCTTGCCTGTCAACCGATCATCTCCGGGGAGGAAAATAGATTGCTCAAAAATGTTCTAGCTTGTCTCTCATTTGGCTTTCCTTGTGGTTGTTTTAAAATAAAGTGTTTTATCATTGCTCCACCCTCTTTAAGTTGCATCAGAAGAAAGTAAAAGAATCAGCAATCCCCTAAGTTTGGGTGTGGCTCAGGAGCGAGCAAGGCTCCAAAGAATAATTCCAAGGTAGAACACAGATTATGGCTTCTCTTCTGGCCTCAGTGTCTGTATCTCTAAAAGGGGAATAATAGAGAACAACAGCTAGCTGGGCTCCAGTGGCTCATGTCTGTAATCTTAGCTACTCAAAAGACTGAGATCTGAGATTTGTGGCTCAAAGCCAACCGGGGCAAGAAAGTCTGTAAGACTTTTATCTCCAATTAACC